TCTTTCGTAAGTGATAATATGATGTTAAATATTCTAATTTAAATATCGTAATTGTTAAATATTGTGTTTCAATGCTAACTTATCAATTGACGATTACAATGTCACTCGATGACTGACTCCGTGTTGTAGTAAGTAGTAGTTAGCGGGTTCGATTCTCGCATTGGGCAAGCATTCGTGTGATGAACAGGTTTATTTGTTCTTTGTCATGGTGTTTATTAACTAAAAATGTATATCCTCTTTCTCCTCGCGTCGTTTTTCTCATTACTGAGGGTCGTAACTACCCCGCTGCATCAGTTTCCCCCCTACTATTCCACTCCATCTGCTGCGATCCTTAGCTTCATGAAGGGCATTGTGGAAGTTGATGTTTAGAGAAGATCGTATTTGGTCGGACCATCTCGTGGAACTACGTCCTCTGGGACTTTTAACATCTACCTTTCCTGTCACCATCTGCTGCTCTAGATTGTGACCCTCTTTACGAGCAATATGTCCGAGGAATTTCAGCACCCTACGATGGCATATAGTGGAAAGTCTAGTTTTGATATGAACATGTATATACTTAAGGGGAAAGTTGCCCATGCGGTGGACCGACTAAGTCAAGTCGGCAGGCGGTTGTTTGCATGAGTGTACCAGGCTCACCAAAAGCCGGAAAAAGTGGCGGTTACTCGCGACGCGCATAACATCTGTCCACAGCAGTGTTACTGAATGACGACCACGACCGCTCTGACAAGAGTGATACGACAAGGAAGAAGATATATTTAAATATACTAGTGGTCCTGCAGTAGTCGAAATTCGATTATAATTAATCGAAATTATAAGTTTGAACATTAATATAGTTTTACTATCAAAGACTATTACTACTTCTATAGTCACAGATTTCGCCAAGATTACACTATAGACAAAAAATGTTATAGATAAACAATATTAACCTATTCTCAATTTAACCACAGACTTTAAGCAACAACAAAAGTTTGACAATAATCAAAGAGTATATAATACGTGTGTGTGTCAAATATGTGGTAGTGTGTGTAATGTTTTCTTTATTGATTTAATGTATTTTAATACATAATTTTTAAAAAATTATAACATTCTGCACTTCTTCTCTATATTCTTTACAAGTGTGGGAAATTTCATACTCCTCCGTCCGCGCAATTTTCGTAAAAAGGGATACAAAGTTTTTGCTTCACGTATTAATATATAGATACTATAAGTATGTAAACCAGTTTCTGGTACCCAATCCTAATTTGGAGTCGGATGACTGTGCGTGATTTGTTCCAAAAATAAAAATGTCAAAATATGACTTAATTAGAATTTACCGTCTCAATCCTCTTGTGTAATGGTTGCCCCATCGTATAATCTATCTACTACTTCGCGGTACAATAATGGCGTGAGCTACCCTCGTAAAATATCCTGCGACCAGCTAATTCCGAAAATTAATTAGTTAAATGCCTCTCATTACTCACAACTCATTTGATTATTAAAGTCATTCATAAAGTACGTACTATTACTTATTTTTGTTTATTCACACAAAATCCAGTGTCTTTGCAATGAAAACATTTTTATATAACTCTGTCTGCCCATAGAAACGTCAGTCGTGAACTAACACAGTGCCGGCATAAGCTGAACACAAAAACTCCGCTTCCTAAAGCTACTAACGAGATGTTAGAATATTCATGACGTAATGAATATTTAATGGATTAAACATCATTTATTCTCTATTATCTTTTCCGAGGCTTAAGGGAAAAAGTTCTTTGTTAAACTAAAAAGGGACTGTCTGTTTTTGTACAATTCGATAACTTATTCTCTTTGTGTCTCCCACACCCTAGGCTACACGCAAGCAAGGCAATTCGTTGACGTGCTAACTATATGCCTTGTCGACACTGGTTCTCTCATACACGCCGCTACACGCGAGCACAGCAGACACACTTCGGTGACGTGCTCACTGTGTGCCTTGTCAACACTGGCTCTCTCACATATGTCGCTATACGCGAGCACAGTAGATACACTTCGGTGACGTGCTCACTGTGTGCCTTGTCGACACTGGCTCTCTCACATACGTCGCTACACGCGAGCACAGTAGATACACTTCGGTGACGTGCTCACTGTGTGCCTTGTCGACACTGGCTCTCTCACACACGTCGCTACACGCGAGCACAGCAGACACACTTCGGGGACGTGCTCACTGTGTGCCTTGTCGACACTGGTTCTCTCACACACGTCGCTACACGCGAGCACAGCAGACACACTTCGGGGACGTGCTCACTGTATGCCTTGTCGACACTGGTTCTCTCACACACGTCGCTACACGCGAGCACAGCAGACACACTTCGGGGACGTGCTCACTGTGTGCCTTGTCGACACTGGTTCTCTCACACACGTCGCTACACGCGAGCACAGCAGACACATTTCAGTGACGTGCTCACTGTGTGCCTTGTCGACACTGGTTCTCTCACACACGTCGCTACACGCGAGCACAGCAGACACACTTCGGTGACGTGCTCACTGTATGCCTTGTCGACACTGGTTCTCTCACACACGCCGCTACACGCGAGCACAGCAGACACACTTCGGTGACGTGCTCACTGTGTGCCTTGTCGACACTGGCTCTCTCACACACGTCGCTACACGCGAGCACAGCAGACACATTTCAGTGACGTGCTCACTGTGTGCCTTGTCGACACTGGCTCCCTCACACACGTCGCTACACGCGAGCACAGCAGACACACTTCGGTGACGTGCTCACTGTGTGTCTTGTCGACACTGGTTCTCTCACACAGGTCGCTACACGCGAGCACAGCAGACACATTTCAGTGACGTGCTCACTGTGTGCCTTGTCGACACTGGCTCTCTCACACACGTCGCTACACGCGAGCACAGCAGACACACTTCGGTGACGTGCTCACTGTGTGCCTTGTCAACACTGTATCTCAAATATTTCGCTACACGCGAGCACAGCAGACAGGTTGCTACCTACTTAATTCACCGTGCCCTCAAATCGAATGCAAGTCCTTTATCTTTAACACCTTCAACAAAATTTACATTCCTTTATCTCCGAAAACCCCGGCTTTAGTGGGTGTAATCCCGGGTAATTGGAATTTAAGATCCCGTTAAAACAAAGTTAATTACATTTAGTCTGCAAAAGGGGCTTCTCAGAACAGGCTGCATTATACATTTCCGCACCATATTGTTGTTTTAATGCTTATTCACTACTGGATGAGGCTTATTTATTTAGAAAACCTATAGATATGACATTCGTGCGTTTCAAGGTCCTTGTTGTTTACGGATGCTGACGATGCATAGCTGTTGATTACAATTTGGAAGTGATTTTTGGTATACCTTGCTATATATACTTGGCCTTCAAATTGTTTACCTATAACAGCTTAGCCAAAACGAATTTGTTTTGTTCAATGATTTTGTACATATATATCATCGTATTACTGGCGGTAGGACCTCTTGTGAGTCCGCGCGGGTAGGTACCACCGCCCTGCCTATTTCTGCCGTAAAGCAGTAATGCGTTTCGGTTTGAAGGGTGGGGCAGCCGTTGTAACTATACTTGAGACCTTAGAACTAATATCTCAAGGTTGGTGGCGCATTTACGTTGTAGATGTACTACCACAAATTAAAAAAAATCACATGTATGATACTACTACCACAAATTTTCGTTAGTAGTCGTAGATGTCTATGGGCTCCAGTAACCACTTAACTACAGGTGGGCTGTGAGCTCGTCCACCCATCTAAGCAATAAAAAAAAGTATATCGCAGCTTAGCTCCTAACAATTAGCGATTTCTCTCATCGATCGTGTGATCTTATGAACTGATATATTATTATGTATAATATTATTGCCCGTGTGTACTGAAGTGGAGTACAGACAAGAACATAGTAATTAACGCGGTGGACTATGTACCTATGCTCGTTCCAAATATGGTTGGTTTTTTTAATGTCGGTACGAATAACGCCATCTGTCGTCAAACAGCTAAAACGGATATTCGAATGTTGTATTTCTATCGGGAATGTTCTGGAAAATTATAGATAGTCGAAACGACCATAAAGACGTGAGTTACGCGAAGCAGTTCGATTCGAAGCAACGAAGAGATCCCCCCAAGATAGCGGAAAAATGAATTTGAATAGTTTAGCCTATCTTAATTTTCGTAATAAATAAAATGGATTTTAATTAGTATTTCGGTGAAGAGTTTTCATTTATCCCGAGTCCAAGGTCGTAACAGTGTGTTTTGATAGTAAAAAAATATATTAAATTGTGTTTATTTTTAATGAAAATCTAGATTTATTTATTTATTTATTACACTTCATGTAAATTTTACATTTGCGGATTTAATGCCTAAGGCATTCTCTACCAGTCAACCAAAGGTAGTGCAGAGTAAATAGTGGTAGGTGCAATGAAATTTATATTAAGTTACGAATACATACACAAAAAAGTATATATATACATATATACACAATCACAGTCACTTATACATATACATACATGCATACATAGATAGATAGATTTAGGTTCAGTCTAAGTATTTGGCACTCTACCGAGTTCCATGGGTCTTGCTAAAAGCCTGTCAAAGAGACTTAGGCTTAGATCGCAGCTTTTAATTTTGAAAGGGTGTTCTGTGCACCATGTTCAAAATGTGTCTTGTTTTATTAGTACGAAATTATTTTAAGGTCTTGTTCATAAGCCAGCCAATGGTGAATAGATTGTTAATAGCCCTTAACTATTTGGGTGAAGGTCGTAGCTTAAATTCCCAATTCGTGCGATGTACAGCTTTGTTTTCTCTATGTCTAAATATTTGATATATGTATTTATTTATTAAAACTGATATAAGTATGCATAATAGTCTCTGGATCTCACAGTACAAGGAATATTAGTTTAGTGGCAGATTGCCGTGTATGACTTGTTCCCAGATTATATTAGCCTTGCTAGTTTAAAACTCCTAGATATATTCGCGACAGGCTCGAACATTAATACCAATTCACTAATTCAAACAGAACTTTAAAATCAACTCAAAACCAATCTTCCTTTATTGTCAACAATGCCAACTCTCTGCATCCAGTTTACGAAAGCTCTGTTCTGCTGTAGGTCAGCTTTCTTGCCGCCAACGCATTCGGAGAGAGGTCGCATGTACCAGGCTGAAATAATTACGTTTTATTTGTATTTGTTACCCAAAGTGACAGACTAGACTAGACCTGTAGTCACAACTAAGACATGAGATCCAAGTTCTCGAAGTCTCATTGTATACGAACGTATAACCAGCACCTTACGTATTCAGGGTGCTTGTACATACATGTGGGCCTTACATTACAAATTATTGTGTAGGGGAATTCTATTCTGCACGTCTTCTTTACTTTATTATACAGAAATATTAGTGACATAACAGGCACAATAATGAGCAAGTATCGAGTGATAAGATCTTACCAGACTTTGAATCCTTCTGAGTCAGAAAATCAGAAAAGACACCCTCAATGAAATAATACTACTATGTACAAAATAAAGATATTGTCCACCAATTTGCATACGAGTAGTATCATTATCTTGAAATGGTCTGCGACGAACAGACGTTGTTTTATAAACATGACTTCGATCTAAAGACTTGAGGTTCTTATGAGTATCTGTGACCTTTTGTAACTTCTTAAAATCAAATTGACAATGCCCTGCCCTGTCCGCAAAATCGGCTACAAGGAATAAACTTACCAACACCGTACAAACAGGAATTGTAGTCCATTTTGCAGTGGTTTGCGAATACCTTCTTCTGCCCAGTCTGGGATACAGCGCATTGAGGATCATAGGAATCCGGGCATGATGCCGGACAAGTGTGCGTGCAATATTGCCCATTTATGCCCATGCTTAATGACCTGGAAGATATAACAGAGTTGGAGTCACTCTGAAGTCATGGGGACCGAAAATGTCGGTGTTCAAATTCTACAAATATTTCAATAGAAATATTGATTATAACAAGGGACAAGGTCGTGTGATGAAAAGCTATTAACCGGTATTGGAAGATATAGAGAGCCCACTCGGATCGGTATAACAATCCTATCTATTTTTGTCCGAGGGGTCGAATTGTTACACATGCCCTTCAATACCAACCCAATATCAATAAAATCGCAGAAAGCAACCCCTGATGCAAGCACATTATTATTTAAATTCGCTTAGTAAATTCTCTTTGTAATTAATATAATTTCTTTTAAATTTCAAACTAAGTGAAAAAGTGTCAATTTAAAATTTCCTTCTTTTTTAAATAAGCTGCTTGACTGTCCCCTTAATTGAACCTCTTATGATGCTTCCACGCTTTGTGGGATTTGGTGGCCGAAGATGCTAGGGCAAGGTAGAAGATGGTAGAGGTCCACCCACCAAAGGACTCCTCGGCACTCACGCCAGTCGCCCAATCCCAGCCCGAAAGAGAATCCGGGAAAAGTAGGGTAATATTCACTAGCTCGTTCACTCAAGGGGGAATTTAAAAGCAGTCAACATCCCTGTTAGAGGTATATAAACATTGAGTAATAAAGATCGCAGAAACTCTATATTTGCGTAATTAGCGGCGGATGGACGTATTGGGCGCATGGGTATGTCCGGGTGGGGCAGCCGTTATATAGCAATATAACAGAGTTTTCCAGGTGGACCACGGTTTCGCTCGGGTGTGCTTATCCCACACGTATTCCTGAAACCCATAACACAAGAGAAAATAAAAAACCCATATACCGTCTCGACCCAAATCTTCTTGTATTATTCCAGTTGGCCACATCCGATTTCACAGGAATTGGTTTGAATGGTAACGGTCTTTCATTATATCGTGCGGCTGTATTGTTGCATTTCCCCAAATCGACCTGTTGATATCCTGATAAATGATATTTATAATAATTGTAACTTGATCATTTTACTATTTACCAATAGTCGGTGCGTTGCGACAAACCCGTGTCTGTTAAATAATTACTGTTCCGGAAATTGGGTGTTCGGTTGTTAATCTTAAATAAATAAATAATCTGGGACAAATCACGTGCATAAATGGTCACAAAATAGAACAATCTTGTACGATAGCAACCAGGGATTGACTGCAGTACCCCGCGACAAATATTGCCATCGCCCTTTGGAAATAGACGATCGGCTAATTTTTGCTTCCTAAAGCGTTATCTCTGAGTGAATTTTAATTTATGTATAATGAGTAAGAACGGCAGGTATGGCAAAATAGTAACAAATAGAAAGCAGAGATAAGAAGCAAACACCACGATCCCAATTCTACCTTTGAAGTGAGTGAGTATAGTTTGAAGGGTCCCTGCCCGTGACGTAAGTCCGTAAGTCCGGAGGGACAAGAACTACGCCGTTCGGCCGGCATTGGACCGGCCTGATAAAAGCACCGAAGAGGGCGCCCCGCCGGTACATGATGGACAAATATGACCCGAATACTTAAATATGCCCAGCTTGTCAGTGTGACAATTAGAATTGAAATTTCTGGTTGGACTGGACTAGCTTGTCGGAAAACAAAAAATCTAGACTCATAATAGCTTGCTGGTCGAAAAGGGGTGATTGTGCAAATTCAGGTGCTGTTATAGAATACTATTGCCTCAAATTTGACCGTAATAGGAATTAAGGGAAGGGGGATCGGGCTCTTATTGCCAACTGTGACAGACAAATTTGCGGTCCCCCGAAGGAGAGAAAGCCGTCAGCGGTGTCTAAGGCCTAGATTGTCAGTGTGACAACTCAGAATAGAAATTTCTGGTTCAGACGAATTAGGAGAGCCGATCCCACCTAAAGTGGGATAAGGAAAAGAAAAAGATCAGAGAACAGTATTCAAGTTAGACACGTCCTTCAAAAATTAAGATAGTGACTTGGTAGGAGAAGGTATTTTCCAGACTTTTCGAAGGAAGAACAAAATGGCATAAAACATTATTGAAAATCGTTATCAACTCACTGTTGATTTCGTGTTTAAAGCCACAATTGACTTTACGAAAATAACATTCATTCAAAAATAGTCTGTATTTCAACTGCTTATGCTCGAATTTGCTGCCGCACACCGAATCTTGTGTGTTATTGCAGTCCAGCTCCGCACAGTTCAAGGATTTGATTTTGAGTTTTTTCGTATCAGTGCCATGTCTTCTGGTTTCCGCTTTGGTTGTTTTTTCAATGTCTTCATTGTTTTTCGCCTTTATAAACAATACATCTTTTGGTGCTTCTGTTAAAGAAATATTTAAAAAATTCAATAACAGTTATACAGTTTTCAACTAACTGGTATAACCAATGATAATTTCTTCAATGTATTCATTATTAAGGATAACTAAAAAACTACTGGTCGGATCTTGATAAAAGCCTCAACTTGCTTTCGGATACAGCAAGCATCATCGAAAACGTTTGACCTAGAGAAACGTTTTGAGGTATAAGCACACATTAAAAATCAGTCAAATTCAGAACCTAAAAGTACATGTAATGCCCTATGCTTGGTTATATTCGTACTAAGTTGTTACGTGTTTCGCTTCGAAGGACGGGACTTTGGAGCAATACGTCTCATACCGGGTCTTCCTTTTTAATATGATACCGTAGATATGTATTCATCTCTTTCTTACACCAAATCAAATTAGAATAACAGCTCGCGCGCGACATTGAAATATCGGTTTTCTTAGATTCTTTCTTAGATCTCGTCAGATTGGTCGTCAATAAGGAACAGGATAAAAAACCACACTGTCCACACCTTCATTATGTGTGTTTAAAATAACAGGCTGCGCACGATAGAAATATCTGGGTTTTCTTAAATTCTTTATTAGACCTCGTTGGGTTGGTTGTCAATAAGGAACAGGATAAAAAACTACACCTTCACTATGTGTGTCTTAGTTTGTTACAAAAATTAACAAAGATTCAACTTCGGTATGCAGAGATTTGACTATGCGTTCATCAACGAAGTTCTTTTATTAAATTATTAAAGTTCAATAAAGTTTATTCAATCAAATTAAAGAATTTAGCATTGAGTTTTGTAGTTTTAAATAAAATAAATTATATAAGGTATTGTTATTATTATTACTATTTAAAAAAATGTTTATCATTTTAGGCAAAACACGTGAAAATAAACTCGGCACAAAATAGTTAAACTTCCACACAGTAATAACGCTAACACTCACCGGTTTCAAAATTAACATTCTGACGTTCCAAGAAATCGCCGATCGTTTTTTTCGTTATAATTTCATCGATGTTAAATCTATCGACGTTCCGCTCAGCACTGTTCGGCACGAATATTACGTCATCTGTCACGTTTGGCGCGTTAGTAGCGTCTCCGACGTTTGGTGTCAGTTTGACGTCTGTCATTGCTTTCTCGTTGACCTCGGCGTGCCCTTCATACGTGACGAAGACATCGGAGTTGTTCTTTGGGATGTGGCATCGCGAGTCCAATATAAAGAACGGTATGAAAACTATAGTAGGTATCAAAACAAATTTGTAGTACATTTTACATTCTTTTTGTAGAATTGTGTAATGCCATAGAATTGTTTTATAGGTTTGGGTACTTAAGCTTTCAGCAAGACTCTGTTTATAGGTCGCGAATTGTGAACAATGCTAGCGCGTAACGTGCTAACGGTGTTGCCATTAAAACGACATGAAATTCAGAAAACTAAAAACCTAGACTCGTAATAGCTTGCTGATCGAAAAGAGGTGATTATACAAATTTAGGTGCGGTTATAGAATACTACTACCACAAATTTTCGTTATAGGGATTAAAGCTAGGGATTGGAGATTGGTCTTTTATTGCCAACTGTGACAGATGAATTTGCGGTAACCCCGAAGGAGAGTAAGCTGTCAGCGGTGTCTAAACAAATAAATGAGGCTTATAAAATCAAAGGCAGCTAAACGCCTTAATGTAGTAAAATGGATTAACTATGGTGCCATATTGTTTAGTTAGTTCGACACGCTTTAGTATTTTCATGTTATAACAAATGCAGCTAAATCTCTAGCAAATTCAGTTCAAAAAATTTATCTTTACTCTATACTCAAATATAAACGAAGTTTTATCATTCAAAATTCAGATTATTAGTAATATTCTCATTCTTTATAAATCTGCTTTAAAATAAAAAATATTGTAGCTACCCGAACAAAGTTATTTCAGCGTCTCAAACCGGGAGTGTTGTTAACACTGGCCCTAGCAAGAGCAGTAGGTCAGGAGGATCCGTAATGACGTGCTTAGGGCCGATTTTTGTTCTTTACCTGAATAATTGACAGAATTGGATTTAGCTGCCTTTGATTTTATAGGCCTCAAATAATAGTTAAAAAAAAAAATAACAAATACGCTTTTATAGAAAATCCAACTAAAAAAAAAGAAAATAAATTTTAATAAATTTGAATTAAAAATAGTGTAAGAAAAGATAATTTTATTTTAAAAAAGCGTGGGGTGCATGGAAAAAAGTATCGATCTGTTTCGTAATGAAAATAAAAATTTACTCACCAAAAAGTAATTGAAATTAATTTGTTAGAGCTTTTAAGACGGCAACATTACTGCTATAATTGTTCACAGACGATTTATAAACATTTACCACAAAAGAGTTACGGCTTAAAATCAACTAATTTCAAATAAACACTAATGACGCACTTTAATTTTACATATCCTTTTTTTTGTTAATAGGGTGGACAAGCTCACAGCCCACCTGGTGCTAAGTGGTTACTGGAGCCCATAGACGTCGAAAACGTAAATGCCGCCACCCATCTTGAGATATGAGTTCTAAGGTATCAGTGTAGTTACATTGTAAAACTGATATGAGATCCACCTTAAGACATGATGTCTACATGTCTCATGTTTGGTACTGGCATCCATGTTGTTGATGTATATGGGCTCCGGTAACCATTCAACATTAGGTAGGTCGTGAGTAACAGTTCATTCTCAATATAGGAAATAAAAAAAAAATGCTATTTTTAAGGTTACAAATTGTTTTTAAGAACCTTAAATGACGGTTTTAAGGTACTTGTCATACTGAATTTTCGTTTCAATCACGCAATTATAATATTTTTGGAAAGAAGCGCCATCTCTTATCGATTCTCAGAACTAGTGAGTCTAAAACTGTTCGTGATCATAATTTAAAAGCTCGCTTTCTTATCTTACGTCCATTTGCTTCGTGAAAAAATCGATAGATGGCGTTATTTCTAATAGAATAAAACTCGTGGTTTAATAATAATTTTTAACAAGCTTTTGTCTGCTCGGTATGTTTGTTTGAAACAGAATCTTTATTCACTGACTTGAAGACGTCCGATTCATCTGACAATTTGCACACGTATCAAGGACCCGTGACAATGCAATAATTTTATAGCTTTGCTCTAACATTCCTGACCGGTATCTATACGATATAAAAATAAGTAGTGGTCCGGCATTAGTCGAAATTCGACATAATGGTTTGAACATTATTAAGATTCTATTGTCAATGACTATTAAACTTCTATAATCAAAGATTTCGCCAAGGCTACACTATTGACAAATAATATTATAGATAAACAATATTAACCTATCCTCAATTTGACCACAGACTTCAAACATTAAACAAAAATTTGATAATAAACATAGAGTATATATTATTATATACATGTGTGTGTCAAATACATGGTAGTGTGTGTGATGTTTATTGATTTAATGTATTATTATCGCCTAAATTTAATTTAAAGACATTAGCATTCTGCACTCCTTCTCTATATTTTTTATAAGTGTAGGACATTTCATACTCCTCCGTCCGCGCAATTTTCGTAAAAAGGTGTACAAAGTTTTTGCTTCACGTATTAATATATATAGATGAAATAATTTTTTAGTAGATACATAATTCATATTGCTTTCTGATACTGCACTACGCCGTCGTTTAGAATTAAAGGTTGCTTAATTTTATTAGATTAACTGGTCTAATCACCGAGAAGATTTTTTTAAATTTCTCATGTATTAAAGTTCTTTTTCCCTACCTTATTCGTTGGTAACCTAAGGGGCTGCTCCAACTGATCACGGACCGTTAGGGGAGCTCACGTACTCAGCCTGAGATAATTGCGAACACTGATTCTTGCAAGAGCGGTGCTTTGCAGAATCTACCACGAGATCAACAGAACTCAGTGAATTGAAATGTTATTACAACTCTTTGACGACAAGCATTTCCAGTCTCCACGGGTGATGAACAAACAATTGACTTGCACTAATATATGTTTTTTTATCTTCGAAGTTAAACAAATATAAATCCCATGAGATGCTCCTGACGATGATCAAGGTCACTGAGCCCAAGACTATTATTACTAAGCTGGACGAGCTCACGGTCTACCTGGTGTCAAGTAGTCATCGGTGCCCGTGGGCATTAACAGTTAATGCGACCGTCCATTTTGAGACTTCGTTTCATGAGTTTCAGGAAGAGTGGTGTCCATAACGTTGCCAAGTCGCCATGTCACTAGTAAATCGTTTGAAGAAGGATATTTGTTTGAAATTAAATCTTCTGTAGTATCGTTGTGATTCGAAAGTCGATGAAACGAAAAAGAGAGAGATCGACACATAAATTCATAAGATTTAACGTGGGAGAAAATGAGATAGGAGTTTCTTATATTCGTGGTTCTCTTTGTGCTCTGCTTCGTACCTAATATTCGTACTTAATATATTATTAATAAATCTATATGATATATACGAATAAAATGTTAAATAATTATCAAAGTTTGTATCACTAAGATCATTACTAAAATCTATAATTATCCTCTTCCCGAAATTTTACATTCGTCTCATTTTGGAGTCGTCGTGGCCTAAGGGATAAGACGTCCGGTGCATTCGAGTTGAGCGATGCACCGGTGTTCGAATCCGAGGCGGGTACCAATTTTTCCAATAAATTACTTACTCAACAAATGTTCAAGATTGACTTTCACGATGAAGGAATAACATCGTGTAATAAAAGTGAAACCCGTAAAATTATAATTTGCGTAATTACTGGTGGTAGGACCTCTTGTGAGTCCGCGCGGGTGGGTACCACCGCCCTGCCTATTTCTGCCGTGAAGCAGTAATGCGTTTCGGTTTGAAGGGTGGGGCAGCCGTTGTAACTATACTGAGATCTTAGAACTTATATCTCAAGGTTAGTGGCGTATTTACGTTGTAGATGTCCATGGGCTCCAGTAACCACTTAAAACCAAGTAGGCTGTGAGCTCGTCCAATCATCTAAGCAAAAAAAATAATTATCACGAAGACAACATTTTTGAAGGTGTCACTTCTACCACTTGCGAATTGCACACATGTTTTTTTCCCCTTACCTATTCACTGGTAGCCTAAGGGGTTTGCTTTAAATTATTTAGAAAATTGCATTATGCACTAAGAACACAAAATATATGGGAATAACCCAAAATTTTACTGCTTTTTATGTATAATAGGTAAACCATACACGCAGGCATGGTTGAGATGTTTCATTCAGAAAAATTACTCTACCTTTTGTACTGGCTTCTAGTCACATATAGCACGGTTCCACACAACACGGGTCTCTGTAGGAACGTATCTACTGCATTATAGGATTACATGTACTGTGCTAATAATTTGAAGTTATACGTGTTTTAAGTATATTCGAAATGCCGAAAAGAATGTCATAATTAAAAAAACTTAAACTTATTCCTTAAAATTACTATTAATTATAACTACGACTCACAAAAAACGTAGAAAAAACTATATATTATTACATAACAGACGTCTAGCGTTTTTAACCGAAAAAAAAATTAGTGTCTTAAAGATTCTGTTGTTTGAAAGTAATTAATTATTATTTTTACGAAAATGACCGGGTAGATTTAGAATTTTCCGCGAAAACTTCAGAACCACAAAGGCTGCAGGGATTTTCTTATAACAATAATAGGTAATGTAATAAACGGGGATGGCCCTGGGGCGGGCGCGCGTGCCCAATGTACCACGTTAACTAGGTTTTGTCGGATCGTTTTGGCCATGAGTTTTAGGTTATAGACCGCGGCCGTGTGCTAACACTTGTCGATCAACTCTCCTTCCTTTCAGCTCGGTTAATTCCCTGAACATAAGTTAAATTTCATTATTTTTATAACGAAAATAGAATATTACAAAAATAATAATAATTGGTTGTCTGTAAAGTCGGCTTACGGATGATAGTTTTACGTAAAAACGTCAGTAGCAGAACTATTCGAACTGCTAGTCTGACGTCACGCGAAAAGAGAGATAAATGTGTCACAAGCCAACGCTTGGGCCGATCGTGCCTCTCTATCGCTTGTTCCACGCTCTCGCTCGCACGCTCAGGTTCAGGCGGAACGTGATACTGTTTCGTGCGTGTAGCCGGTTTTCATCGATTTATAAGACGTTATAACGTCGAAAACCGAGACTGATGTCAACTTGATATGGTATGATAAGATATGGTATGATATAGATTCACATGTTGATCTTGTTAGCATTAAATAATCGACACGACAATAATCGACGACAATGCGGACCGCGTCGCAGGCCGCAGCCGCCG